TAGGATAAGCACTGGACTGGTAACCACAAGGTATGTGATTCAAACCCATCAACCGTTCCTTGGAAACCCTACTCAGGGTCGCTATGGGTCTGAACTGGCTCAACAGCACTTAACAACAAAGCTGCCCACTATGGCTCATGGCTGGCTAGAAGAGTTCTATTAAAAGAGCACTAAATCAACATAAAGAAGAAAATCAATGCTGTGAAGAGTGGATTGAGTTATTCTAGGAAGAGAGGAAACAAGATCTAATCTAGCTTTTGAATTTCTTCCTCTTCAAGTCTCGGCAAACATCCTCCTCCAGTTTGGGTCAGACACCCCTCCTTTGTTTTCCCTAGTATTGTATGTTTCCCTCATACAATCAGAGCACTTTGTCTCCTTTAGTAAACAGTCTCATGGGGACAGGGACTTTGACCTTTTTAAAATCATGATGTTCATCAGACCCTAAACAAGACCAGGTACATAATAAGCATTTGGAAAATGTTTAATGAGTTGACAAAGAGAGTGAGCAAATTATATTTTTCCACTCTTCTTTTAGGAGTAGAGAAAGTACAGGCCTATTCGACGTATTCATTTGGAGTCCTGGTGTGGCGCTGTGTGTTAATGCGCTGGACTGCCAAATCAGTTTGACCCACAAAGTCGGCAGTTCAAGGTCACCAGCTGCTCCTTGGAAATCCTATACAGGGTTGCTATGGGCTGGAACTGACTCACAACACTGATAACAACAACAACGTATGTATTCATTTATTCATTCCTTCATTCTCTGAGTTTCATTGACCTGGTAGACACTGTGCTAGAGGCAAGACTTACACAACAGAGAAATGTTGTTGTTGTTAAGTGCCATCAAGTTAGTTCCTACCCAGAGCAACCCTGTATAGGGTTTCCAAGGAGGGACTGGTGAGCTTGAACTGCTAACCTCGCAGTTCAAACGGCTTTGCAGTCTGGAGCATTAACCCACAGCACCACACCAGGACTCCACAACAGAGAAATAGATGCTTCAAAATTATGAAGTAAAAAAGTTACAAAGTACTTGGTTAGTGTTGATAAGCAAAAATATTAAGGATCAAAGAAAGTAGCAAGATTTGTACCAAATATCAGAGAAGGCTGAGGAGGAACAAACACTGTAGAAAGAGACACTGGTGTAGCGCTGTAGGATGAGCACTGGACTGCAAGCTTGATTTGAACCATAAGGTCCTTGGTTCAAATTCACCAGCCGCTTCTCGGAAATCCTGCACAGGGTTACTGTGAGTTGGAACCAACTCGATGGCACTTAATAACAACAACACCAATGAGTTGTAATCAACTCAATGATAGAGAAATTTTGTTTTTTTTATAGGGTTTCCAGGACTATAACCAACACTCATCTGTCAGTTTGTTGCACTGTTGTGGCTTGTGTGTTGACGTGATGCTGGACACTATGCCACCAGGATTTTGAATGCCGGCAGGGTCACCTATGATGGACAGGTTTCCACTGAGTTTCCAAACCACAGCAGGCTAGGAAGAAGGAGAGGCAGAATACTTCCGAATGTTTAACCACTGAAAACCTTATGAATAGCAGTGGTACACTGTCAGATAGCTCCTGAATACTGAATATGGCAACATTATGGCAACATTATGAATAGCACCCAAATATCATCAGCTATCGTGCCACAAGATGAACCACTCAAGTTAGAAGTCACTCAAAATACTACTGGAGAAGAGCTGCCTCCGCAAAGTAGAGTTGATTGTAATGAGGCGAATGGAGTAAAGCTTTCAGGATCTTCATTTGCTAATGGGGCACATCGCAAAATGTGGAGAAATGGCTGCAAACATCCATTAATAATCAGAACACAGAATGTATGAAGTATGAATACAGGAAAATTAGAAGCTGTCAAAAATGAAATGGAAAGCATAAACATCAATATCCTAGGCATCAGTGACCTGAAATGGACTGCTATTGGTAATTATGAATCTGACACTCACATGGATTACTATGCCGGGAATGACAATTGAAGAGGAATGGAGTCATGTTCATCATAAAAAAGAACATTTCAAGATCTATATTGAAGTATAATGCTATCTGTAATAGGATAATATCTATACACCTACAAGGAAGACCAGTTAACACCATTATTAGTCAAATTTATGCACCAACCACTAAAGCCAGTGATGATGAAATTAAATAATTTTACCAATTTCTTCAATATGAAATTGATAAAACATGTAATCAAGATGTATTGATAATTACTGGTGATTGGAAAGCAAAGGTTGGAAACAAAGGGAAGGATCAGTAGCTGGAAAACATGGCCTTGGTGACAGAAATGACGCTGGAGATCACATGATAGAATTTTGCAAGACCGAAGACTTCTTCATTGTAAATACCTTTTTTAAGCAATATAAAAGATTACTATACACATCAGATGGAACACACAGAAATCAAAGTGACTATCTCTGTGGGAAGAAACTGTGAAAAAGCTCCACGTCATCAGCCAAAACAAGGTCAGGGACAGACTGTGGAACAGACCATCAGTTTGTTCATGTGTAAGTTCAGGTTGAAGCTGAAGAAAATTAAAACAAGATCACAAGAGCCAAAATATGACCATGAACATAGCCCACCTGAATTTAGAGATCATCTCAAGAACAGATTTGATGCATTAGACACTAATGACCAAAAACGAGAAGAGTTTTTGGATGACATTAAGAATATCATACAGAATGAAAGCAAAAGGTCATAAAGAATATAAGAAAGAAGGAAAAGAGCAAAATGAATGTCAGAAGAGATTCTGAAACTTGCTCTCCAACGTAGAGCTGCTAAGGCAAATAGAAGAAACTGAGAGGTAAAAGAGCTGAACAGAAAATTTCAAAGGGCAGCAGGGAAAGACATTTTCAAATATAGTGAACTGTGCAAAGACTTAGAGTTAGAAAACCAAAAGAGAAGACCATGCTTGGCTTCCTCAGGCTGAGGGAAATGAAAAAAATAAATAAATTCAAGCCTCAACTTGCAATATTAAAGGATTCTATGAGCAAAATATGATGATGCAGAAAGCATCAAAAGAAGATGAACAGAATACAAAGAGTCACTATACCAAAAACAAATGGTAGATCAAAGTTCAACCATTTCAAGAGTTAGCATATGATCAAGAGCCAATGGTACTGAAGGAAGAAGTTCAAGGTGCGCTGAAGGTATAGGCAAAGAACAAGGCTCTGGGAATTGATGGAATACAAATCGAAATCTTTCAACAAACTGACGCAGCACTGGAGGTGCTCACTCATCTCTGCCAAGAAATCTGGAAAACCTGGCCAACTGATTGGAAGAGATCCATATTTGTGCCCATTCCAAAGAGATGTGACCCAACAGAATGTGGAAATCATCAGACAATATCATTAATAACACATGCAAGTAAATTTTTGCTAAAGATAATTCAAAAACAGCTACAACTATACATTGACAGTGAACTACTGCCAGAGATTCAAGCCAGATTCAAACAAGGAGGTGGAATGCAGGATATCACTGCTGACATCAGGTGAATGCTGGCTGAAAACAGAGAATACCAGAAAGATGTTTGCCTTTGTTTCATTGACTATACAAATGCTTTAGACTGTGTGGAACATGACAAGCTATGGAGAGCATTGCCGAGAAGGAGTTTTCCAGAACACTTAACTGTGCTCATGAGGAACCTGTACATAGATCAAGAGGTAGTCATTCGATCAGAACAAGGGGTTTAAAATCAGGAAAGGCGCATGTCAGGGTTGTAGTAGTTCATCATACTTATTCGATCTGTATGCTGAGCAAATCATCCAAGAAGCTGGATTGTATGAAGTAGACCATGGCATCAGAATTGGAGGAAGACTCATTAACAGCCTGTGATATGCAGATAGTACAACCTTGTTTGCTGAAAGAGAAGAGGACTTAAACTACATATTGATGAAGATCAAAGATCACAGCCTTCAGTATGAGTTGTACCTCAATGTAAAGAAAACAAAAATCCTCACCACTGGACCATAAATGACTTTATGATAATGGAGAAAAGATTTAAGTTGTCAACGACTTTGATTTCCTTGGATCCACCATCGACACTCATGGACGCAGCAGTCAAGAAATCAAATGACTTATTGTATTATGTAAATTTGTTGCACAGATAACTTTAAATCATTAAATTATTCAAGAGTAAAGATGTTAGTTTGAGGACAAAGGTGTGCCTGCCCCAAACCATGGTATTTCCAGTAGCTTCTTATGCATGTGTAAGTTGGACAATGAGTAAGGAAACCATAGGAGAACTGCTGCATTTGAGTATGGTGTTGGAGAAGAATATTAAAAGTATCATGAACTTCTAGAAGAACAAACAAATCTGTGTCCAAAAAAGTACATCCCGAATGTACTTTAGAAGTTAGGATAGCAAAACTTCTTCTCTCATATTTTGGACATATTATCAGGAGGGAACAGTCACTAGAGAAGGATATCATATTTTGTAAAGTGAAGGGTTGGAGAAAAAGAGGAAGACCCCCAACGAGATGGATTTGCACACTGGCAGCACAATGGGCTCAAGCATAACAACAATTGTGAGGTTGGTACAGGACTGCGCAGTGTTTCACTCTGTTGTGCGTAAGGTCGATATGACTTGGCACCGAGTGAAGGGTACCTAACAACAGCAACAACAAGGACTATAAACTTTTATGGAAGCAGAGGCTCACATCTTTCTCCCAGGAGGCACCTGGAGGGTTTGAACTGGCAACCCCTTCAATGAGCAGATTAGCACCATAACCACTGTGCAAGCAGAGATCCTCAGATGACTGCTAGCAAAATTAAATGGAAGAAAAGAGTTAAATTAAACAAGGTAGACATTTTCTTTTCCTGTGATGCTATGCCCTAACTTCTCTGATGCAGGCTGCCAACTTTCTGTAAAAAACAACTGCATCTTGCTTTGAAGTCTCATATTTCAACAATAACTCTATCGTTGTATTATATTCACAATAATTTGGTGAGAGCATGCAAATTATATTACAAAATAAAATAATTTTCATACCTGAGACACTTTGCCTGTTGGAATCTGAGTCCCCATTACTGGAGTTAGAATTGTTGGAGGAGTTGTTGTCAACCCCTCCCAGAAGGGGGCGCAAGTGGCTCACTGAGACTTGTTCAATGAATGATGTTCCATACTTGCGAAAATACCACCATTCAAATATCTAGAATAGAAGAATAATAAGTGTGTGTTTATTGTCCATGTTACTGCTTATAACTTCTGTACATATGCACATAAAATATATTTACTGGTTATAACAGAACTTAATGAAAGAATTTTAAAAATAAAAATATTAGTTTATTCCCAAAGTTAAAGATTTTCATATTTTAGTAATATAAGACACCAATTATATTTTAAATTCTCACTTTTGTTTTCTTTACTTTATAGTGGTTTTAAAAAAAAATCTACAACTACAATCATTGATATAAAAGTATTATTAAGATCTGCTCAATACTATTTTCCTCCACGTTTATATGCTATTCAAATAACAAAATCAATATAGCTGAAAGGCAAATCCAGAAATGTATACAAATAAGCCAGTTTTATATGTTTGGTTTAGGAAGTGTTCTAATTTTGGGCATTTTATAATCTGATAAATCCACCCTTATACAACAATTTTAAGGTACCTAAACTTCATTTTTTTAAAATAGTCATCTCGTTAGAGAATTGCTGGTTTTACAGAGAGAGAGTGTGAGAGTCCTCAGCACTCAACTGCTGAGAGACTCAGGCATGTCTTACCAGCTAGGAAGAGCTTATGAACCCTGGCCTCTGTGGCATGCCATTCAAGTTTTCCAGTTCACAAGTTTACCAACTATTATGTACTTGTGGATCGAGAGGGAGAGAAAGAGAGAGAGAGGAGACTTTCATTAATAATGGAAAAAAAGTAATGGTGCTTAAATTATGAGAAATAATTTCCTAAGCAATGGGCAAGTAAGCCTCCTCTCACAACCTTTCTTTCTGGACTCTTCTTGATGCCTACAGTGAACACTTTGCCACAATTGTTCAAAGTTGCCCTCTCCCACAGCCTTTCCTCTTCTCCCTGTCTCACTTGAGATTTGTTTTCAAAACAGTCAGAAATCATTCCAGAGAAGAAATGCAAGAATCAATTATCAAAAAGAATCAACTAAGTACTTGTAAATCCTGGAGTCTCATAGGATGGCTAGATATTATACTTGTATAATATATGATAAGGAGCTCTAGTAGTGTAGTGGTTACGAATCAGGCTGTGAACCTCAGGGTCATCAGTTCGAAACTACCAGCTGTTCCGCGGGAGAAAGATGAGGCTTTCTGCTCCCGTAAAGTTTTACATTCTCGGAAACCCTGTACAGGGTCACTATGAGTTGGAACTGACTCCATGGCACATAATGACAACATAATATAAGATAGAATATGGATTTAACATAAAATGAATTTCCTGTATCCTAACTTGTTTCATAAAAATAAAAATTTGCAACGGACTTTGGACTATTATTTTAAAACTAAACATTTCTCTTTTATTCTATCAAATACTTCTAAAAAGGGGAGATAGACTATCTATGAATGATCAGACCACTCACTGCCACTAACATCAAATGCCTTCGGACTCATAGCAACCCCACAGGACAGAACAGAAGTACTCGGCAGGGTTTACAAGACCATAGAACTTGATCCCACATGGACTATCAACTAAACCAACCTCATAAATCCTACAATAGGTCAATTTGATTTAATTTCCCTTTGATTATATGAATTTCCACATGTTAAAACAAATTCACTGGGTAAACTAAGGAGAATATAATATGAAAGCTAAGAAGAGACAAGACTAGTCTATTTCATTTGGAATGCTAGAAATAAGAGATATTGCTTGAAGAAGGAAGAAAGTTAAGAATGGTGAATCCTGAAGGGAGTTTATAACAGCAATGAGTTATTTAATCTATTTGAGAATTGGTTTCTTTAACTTTATCCTCAAGGGTCCTTACTTCATTTTCACAACAATCCCGTGTAAAACACAGAACTCAATACCCACTACTACACAGGTGGTGCTCAAATGATGCACATCCCCTCTAATCCAGTATACCTTGAGTATTGCCAAAGTGCACATTTCTTCATGTCAGTCTATAAGTCAAGTTAGTACATCTTGTCTGTTACTAGATTGTTGGCTGAAAGTCCTAGAAGACAACTGTGGAAGATGGAGTTGCTCCTGATACAGTCCTGGTCACTCAACAAAGTCCTCAAGAGAAGAAGACACCAAAGGCCCCAGAATGGTAAAGGCTAGCCTCATTTGTCTCAGGTCTTTGCTCTGCTTTCTGTATCTTGCTGATTAGTTCAATCACACAGCACTGAGTGTATGAGCTGTGCCCACAGGTTACAAGGCAGAGCTGTAACCACTGCTACTACAAAGTCCATGCATAGGTCCCCAATGTCTCCCACAGACTGCTCCCTGACATGGCCTATGTCCAACACAAAAGCCTTGGGACTCTTCAGTTCCTCCAGCAAACCCACAGAATGTCAGCATGGAAAGGGAAATTAAAAGTCCACCTACACCTACAACCTCCATTCATGGATGAGGAACAAGGACACAAAGTGCAGTGGCCTGACCAAAGCCACACAGCTAGTTAAAGAACTGGTTGGCCTACAGCCCCAGCTCCCTGTCACTAATCTTCCCAGGGCCCTATGATGAGACATCTTTTAGTAATTCTCTTGCTTCATTTAAACAAATGTAGGTCTATCTTTTCCTTTTGCAGATATTCACTCCCAAGTGCCCTCCAACTTTATTTTTCCTTCATTCTTTCAAAATGAATCTATATGCAGCCTACCAAAAAAAGGAAAACAAGAGACCAGAATAATTCATTCCAAGGTGTAAATGACTCATATTAAGTTGGCATTTGCATTATAATAAGAGATTATCCTTCTAACCAGCATTTTTAACGCAACAGAAATAATGTTCCTATTGTGTGCCCTCCCTTAGCAATTCTAATTCCAACTCATAGGGACTCTATACAGTGGATTAGAACTGCCCCATAGGGTTTCCTAGGCTACATACAATCTTTAAGGGAGAAGGTCTTTCTCTTGCAGCAGGGCCGGGCTGGACTTGCAGGAACGATGTTGTTGTCAGGTGTTGTCGAGTTGGTTCCAACTCATGGGACCCTGTGCACAACAGAACAAATGGCTGCCCAGTCTTATGCCATCCTCACAGTCTTTCCTATGATTGAGTCCACTGTTGTAGCCACTGTGTCAATCCAGTTCATTGGGAATCTTCCACTTTACCCAGTACAATGTCTTTCTCCAGGGACTGGTCCCTCCTGATAACATGTTCCAAGTATATGAGATGAAGTGTCATCATCTTTGCTTCTAAGGAACATTCCAGCTGTACTTCTTCCAAGATAAATCTGTTCATTCTTTTGACAGCCCTCTGTATTTTCAATGTTCTTTACTAACATTATCATTCAAATGCATCAATTCTTCTCTGGTCTTCCTTATTCACTGTCCAGCTTTCACATGCATATGAGATTATTGAAAATATCATGACTTGGGCCATGCTCTTCTTAGTCCTCAAACAGACATCTTTGCTCCTTAACCTTTCAAAAAGGTCTTTTGCAGTAGGTTTGCCTAATGCAACACATCTTTTTATTTCTTGACTGCTGCTTCCATGAGTGTTGATTGTGGATCCAAATAAACTGAAATCCTTGACATGGTTAATCTTCTCTCCAATAATCATGTTTTCATCCAGTTGTGAGGATTTTTGTTTTCTTTACATTGAGGTGTAATCTATACTGAAGGCTATACAGTTTTAGATCTTTATCAGTAAGTGCTTCAATCCTCTTCAGTTCCAGAAAAGCCAGGTTGTGTCATCTGCATATCAAAGTGTGTTAATGATTCCTCCAATCCTGATGCCTTCTTCCTCTTCATAGAGTCCAGATTCTCAGATGATTTGCTCAGCGTATACATTGAAAAAGTATGGTGAAAGAATATAATCCTGATGCATTCCTTTCCTGATTTTGAACCATTCAGTATCACCTTGTTAAGCTTATGGTTGGTCTATGTACAGGTTCTACATGAGCACAATTAAGTGTTTGCAGGAATAATAACTCTCGAAAAGACTGGGTTTTTCCTATATCTGTTTGAGGAGAAAGGAAGGGTCTTCTTATAACCTTTTACATCACAGAATCAGTGGCTTCTTACCCAACCTGGTCCTTTTTTATACAACTGTCCAGGGACATAGCAGAGATGATATTATTATTGAATGAAAAGGAAAGAGGAACAGAATTTGAAGTCTTCTGAAATGAAACCACTACTGTTAGCCTTTGGCATAACACTCAGCCTCCTGCCCTCCTCCTGAAGCATGTCAGGCACTGGGCCAGCATGCCACAGTATTTTAGAAGAGCTGCACAAATCCAAGTAGGCAGATGGTGCTATTTCATGCAAATATATTTGGTGTTACTTTGAATTCTCCCTGGTGCATAACCTACAATGTAAACTACAAAAGTCTCATAAACAAATTTAGATTTTAAACCAGTTCTTGAGTATACTAACAGCTTAGCGGACTCACCACAGTGGAATAAAGCTAATAACCAAAAAATTAAAATATAAATAAAATATTATTGCATTTCATGTTTAATCTTGAAAAATTAAATCCTCTGGTGTTTTTCCTGCTCTTGTTCTGCCCTCAGAATTATTCAGATCAAGTAAGATGAGAAGTAAAAACCAACAAGTGATTTTGGCATGTAGGAAGTCAACAGTGGCTCTAATAGCCAGTTAGTTTAAAGGGAAAAATCCTAATGTCCTTCAGGATAGCACAGTGGTACATGCTTGCTTCATTCCCTTGATTTCTGAGGCTCCATTTTCTAATGTATCCAAAAAAAGATCATAATAAACACTCAGCAAATGTTGGGTAGATAGGTGGGCAGACAGACAGATAGAAGGACAGATTGATGAGTGGGTGGTCCAGTTGATTTAATGCGATAGAATCTAAAGATAAAGTCGAATCAGGGACAGGTTCTGTGTTCATTTTCTTGGTTAGGAAACAGGGAATGTCTACACCTATTTGTGTGAGGGGAAATAGTCCAATGGAGAGGGAGAACTGAAGTGGTGGCAGAATCTCAGTGACCATGGGTCTGATGAAAAGAACATGTTCTCCCATGGAAAGGTCACCTCCCACTTCTTATTCTGAGACAGGGAGAAAGG